ATAAGTAATTCTTTTACTTTTTTTTCTTCTTTATTTCCTTCGCCCTACTCCACAAATCTGACTACGCCCCTGTTGACGATGATTAAAATTTGATTTTTTTGTTAAATTTTAATAAAATTTAACGAAATGTGTGGGAAAATAGTCATTGAGCCCCTTAAAATTTGATTTTTTGGTAAATTAGAACTTGACGAAATGCATGGTCAAAAAGCTCTGGAAGCCAAGAAACATTTTGTTTAGTTGAAATGAATAGTTAACTCCGATTATATTTTAATCGGCATGAAACAGGGGCTAACTCAGCATTATGTTTAGTTCTAGATTCTAAAAAGGTTCCTTCTCTTTTGATTTCTGTTGGAATGTTCTCCAGTCATCCTCTCCATTCTCCAGCCCATCTCTCTAGTTCACGAAGTAGCAGTTCACCAGCAAACCAGCCTCTCCAGTTTAACAGAATTCAGCTCCTTCTAGTTCTTTCCTTAGTTTGTTATCTTGTTAGTTTGTTTCAAAAAAATTTGTTACCTATTTTCTCTATAAATAGAATGGATTGCATTGTAATTTTCTTAAGCATGAATGAATGAATTTTTCTTCATTTTCCCTGCATCACAGCAGGCCTATCCCTTTTTTATTTTCAGTTCCTTTTCTACAGCTTTCCTTCCTGCATTATCCTCTGTTAATTTCGTCCATTATTTCCAGCTTGAATCTCCTTCCTTCCTTGATTTTATCATGGTATCAGAGCAGGTTTCTGATTCTTCCATTTGAAATTCATCTTTTTCTATATCTTTTCTCAATTCAATCCAAAAAAAAAAAAAACGAAACAAAATCGAAAACACAAATAACCAGAAAACAGGATAGTGACTTAGCTCACTAGATGTTCGACGAAATGTCAAAACGGATTCTTCTTCTTTGAAGATTGAGGATGGCGGATCAATTACCAAAAAGGTCATCTGCTATTAAATTTTGAATTGATTTCCCAGACGAACAGTTTGCAAAACGAAATTGAATCTGCCGTACAACAGAAAACTAAACTGAAGCCAGAAATTGAAGATAGAAGGCTTCTTGTTGGAATATTTTAGCAATT